AGTGTGTGTGTATGTGTGTGTTTGTGGTCTGATGGATGATTGTTCTCAGGATGAATATTTAGATGTGTGAGTGATTGATTCTCCTGCTGTCGCTGCTTACTTCACCTTCATCTGTTGATCTGCTGATAGTTGATGCTTGATGTGGAAATATGAGTTCAGATCATATGGGATCAGTCTCACATCTCTCTGTCTCTCAGGACGCTTTCTGTCTCCAGCCAAACACACGTCTGCCAGCGGGAACCCCTGGGTGTCTGTCCTGATCTCCTGGATCCTCGTGCAGGTTTGAAAACTTTCAAATGAGTTCAGGAATAATAGAGTGATTGTCAATCAGCTCACGTCTATGAATATGGTTATTTTTAGTCTTTGTGTGCTGAGTTTTAGTTATAAACGTGTTCCTCCCACATTCATATTTGCCACTCCTGCATCTAGAATGCCCCGCCCACATCTAACATGCCCCTCCCACACTGAGCGCCACATTTAAAATGTCCCCGCCCACATTCAGAATCTCTTTTGCCATTTTTTAATGGTTCTTCTGAAGGCAATTCTTTGTATATAAAAAAAAAAAAAGAAAAAAGGTCCATGGAGAAGTCGAGAGAAAAACCATATCAAAATAAATAAATAATAGAAATAAGATTAAAATAAATAACAGTTCTATTATAATAAAAAAATAAACATTGTAAAAAAATTTAAAGATTACAATAAAAAAATGATTACATTAAATGTGTAAAAATGAGATTCAAATAATAAAAATTAGATCTAAATAAACAAATAATAGAAATTAGATTAAAATATAATTAGATTAAATAATGAGAAATTAGAATAAAATATATAAAATTAAAAAGATAAAAATGAGATCAAAATAAATGATAGAAATAAGATTAAAATAAAAATTAAATTAAATAATGAGAAATTAGATTAATATAAATATATAAACAAGATTTAAATAACATTGAGATCAAAATAAATAGAAGTAAGAATAAAATAAATAAAAATTTGATTAAATAATGACACGTGATTAAAATAATAAAAATTAGATCATAATAAAAAAAAATTAAAGGATTAAAATATAAATATAAATTTAAAAATAAATGTAAAATAATACTTCTATATTAATAAAAGTTATTAAATAATACAATTAAATAATTGTACAATTATTTGAACTAAAATTAAATTTAAAAATGATTTAAAGGGGTCATATGATGCTGCTAAAAAGAACATTATTTTATATTTATTTAAATTATTTTTAAAATAATTACATACTACAGTACTATAGTGAGTAGGGGAAAAAAAACTTTAAATATTTTGCAAATAATATTTGACACAAGAATAATATTTTATTTTAGAAAATCATCCTCAACTTAGGATGGTAGTATTTGAGGATCTTTGGCTTCCAGTAGATTGAAAGCCCTGTGAAAGCTGCCATATGCTTCTCATTTCTCTGTTAAATTAGCATATTCATAATCTCATTAGCATGTTCATCCCCTGTTATTGCAAAGTTTGTAATTTTCTCACACTTTTCCTTTTCATCAAACAGAAACTCATCCTACACTTTCCTACCTTCCCACTTATCACTCTCTCTCTCTCTCTCTCTCTCTCTGTCATGGAGTCGTTAGTCTCTGATTGGTTTAAAGGTTCTTTGACTCCCAGAATACTTTGTGATTATGAGGGAGCTGCTGCCATTAAACATGAGGAGCAAGACGACACAACCTGGAACAGAAAACACACACACACACACACACACACACACACACAGTGCTCGTCACACTGTCTGATCTGCACTATTAAACTTGCGAGAACCTCCATTAGCGTTTTCTGAGTTTAAATTTCACAATTCCGATAAAACAAAGAATTCTCTGAATTCAGTGAAAACTTAAAAATATAAAAATAAAATCTTAAAATAAATATATTTATTTTTAAATACAAATGGAAAATATTCATAAATATTTACTTTAACTGTTTGTATTATTTATATACTATTATAATATTTATTAATATTTAGAATTTTAGATAAAAAATACATTTATAATGTTTAATTTTTATATTTTCAGTTATCATTGTAATTTTTGTTTGTTCTTTACCGTTTCTTTTTGTATAAAATATGAAAATCAACAAAATACAATTTGCTTTTACTTTAACTGCCTTCCAATCTTCACTCAATTTTTTTATTTTTATTAATTTTTTTAAGTAAATGAAAAAAGACAAAAGCACTTAACATAATAAGTCAAACTTAAACTAAATATTACTATGAACACTGAAAATATGACCTGTGACATATAAACTTGCAATTCTGATAAAAAAAAAAAAAAAGTCAAAATTTCGAGATGAAAATAATTGCTATCAACTTCTTTATTTTCGGACACGTGCTTCCATAAGTAACACATAGAAATAAATATGAAATTTTGAAGTACAAAGAACGAAATAGTATTTTCTTGTACAACACTCCCAATAATCTTTTTAATCATATATACAGTATCTCACAGAAGTGAGTACACCCCTCACATTTTTGTAAATATTTTATTATATCTTTTCATGTGACAACACTGAAGAAATGACACTTTGCTACAATGTAAAGTAGTGAGTGTACAGCTTGTATAACAGTGTAAATTTGCTGTCCCCTCAAAATAACTCAACACACAGCCATTAATGTCTAAACCACTGGCCACAAAAGTGAGTACACCCCAAAGTGAAAATGTCCAAATTCACTGGAGTCCTCTTCCACTCCTCTATGACGCCTTCCCGGCGCTGGTGGATGTTAGAGACCTTGCGCTCCTCCACCTTCTGTTTTTTGGGTCTGGACAGATGCTTGGCCAATCCATCACCTTTACCCCCAGCTTCTTTAGCAAGGCAGTGGTCGTCATCATGTTGTAATACTGCCCTGCGGCCCAGTCTCTGAAGGGAGGGGATCATGCTCTGCTTCAGTATGTCACAGTACATGTTGGCATTCATGGTTCCCTCAATGAACTGTAGCTCCCCAGTGCCGGCAGCACTCATGCAGCCCCAGACCATGACACTCCCACCACCATGCTTGACTGTAGGCAAGACACACTTGTCTTTGTACTCCTCACCTGGTTGCCGCCACACACGCTTGACACCATCTGAAGAGGAAATCATTGATAACAGTTCTGTGAACTCTTCAACAAAGTCTGAAGATAATTACACACACACACACACACACCCGACTCTTCAACAAAGTCTGGTGTATAATTACTATGTATATATAATATATAATTATTTATATATATATATTTTAGTATTAAAAATATGTTAGTTTTTTTTTAATATTATTTGTACAACTTTGAAAATATTTTTTAGTGCAGTGTGATTTGTGCAACTCTCATTTGTGTCAAAAAAAGTACATAGTTCCTGAAAACCGTTCTTTGCTGAAGGAACCGGTTAAACTCCCATGATGCACTGGGACTGGCACTCATAAGTGGATGGTGACTCAGCAGATTAAAGCCGTGGAGTTTTTCCAGACGCGCTCTTGACGTCCAAAAAACATAAGAAACACTTTCAGAAAGCCTTTCCTGAGAAAAGTGTGTGCGTTTGCTGCGTCTGACCCTGAGTTTGGATGAAACGCCGCCGCCATGTTCTGCCTCATAAACGCACAATTTATCCTCAACACTTAAAGTAGCCTCGTGTTATTTATGAGCGTCTTCAAAGAAGAGCACTCAATATGAGGCATAATGCTCAGCCAATATCTTAATAACACTCACTCTAAATCACAGCCCCACACACACACTCACACACACACACGTCAAGTCACCTTTATTTATATAGCGCTTTTAACAATACAGATTGTTAAAGCAACTGTACAGCATTAATTAGGAAAATAGTGTCAATAATGCAAAATGACAATAGTAAACACAGTAATTTTCAGTTAAAGGCAGTTCATCATTGAATTCAGTGATTTCATCATCCAGCTCAGTTCAGTTTAAATAGTATCT